ATAGACGCATATTATCCCATCTCGTTCATATTATATTAGGTCATTCCGAAAGTAATTTCGCTTTTTTCAAACGGACGCCATATGTGATGGAACAAAGATTTCTAATAGAACTTGGTAGCATTCGATGCAGGGTTTCTTCCTCTTTCTGATAATTATAAAATTACTGCAGCATAGTCAATGAGCTTTTAATAAATTACGAAAGTCTGCGATTCATGCTTTTTGAGGATGCTGAAATTTCCCGGTTTTTCTAAATTTTTACATCAACCCTCCGAAGAAGCTCAAGTAACGATTCGATAGAGCAAACCTCATAGGATACGGCTTGACTTTTTTTTCGTTTTTATATCTCGCCATAATTTTTTGAAAGATTCATTATTAAAACCATCGAGTTTTGACAGGCCAACGTCAGCCACATTCGCATCAAACACCAATAAATCTTCGAAATTTGAAACTTCCAAGATGGTGTTATGATTTACCAACAATTTTGCAAAGCGAATGAGGGTTTGCGGAATCGAAATATCTAATTTCGAATTTTCCGGGTACAGCCCAGAACGCATTCGAAAATATGAATTACGATGATTTTGTACGCGAAAACTTCACGAAAGAGAAACAAAAAACATACATTAGAAAGACGAGATTAAGCTGCATCGAGTGGCACTCGAGCTGCAAAGCGTTTGATGCTCTACGATGTTTGAGTTGACCAAGAATGGAAGATGGTAGCATCAATCAAAATTCCATTAACAAATTTTGAGGAGTTATGTGAAGGAGAAAAAAAATCGTTTTGAACCGTGTAGGGGTACACATTTAGAAAAATTGTGAAACTTGAGCATCTCAAAAAGCATGGATCGCAGACTTTTGTAATTTCCCAAAAGCTCATTCACTATGCTGCAAAAATTTTACAACCATTAGAAAGAGGATGAAATTCTGCATCGAATGCTACCAAGATCTCTTAGAAATCTTTGTTCCACCACATGTGGCGTCCGTTTGAAAAAAAGCGAAATTATTTTCGGAATGACCTAATATGAGGTTGAATTCATGTATTTGCGCCGTTTTAGCAGTTGATCGGAATGCCTTTTTAAACTCAAGTTCATAGCAGTAACATTGGTCAATTCTACTGTTACCGAGCGACAGTTGGCTGCATATTAACATTATGAAAGTGTGCCGACTTGAGTAGTATCAAATCCCGTTGGCCAAATACAGTTCAGTGTACAGAAATACTGCTCAACAAAGTTGTAAATTGCAACAGTAATTGTAGATATCATTTTCTCATCAAGCTTTCGGTTTTTCGACCACTAGTTATTTGGTGTGGTGTAATGAAATTTTGGGCCACTTCGGGTCAAAACTGAAGAGAGCAGGTCAGGCTAGAAAAGCTTCTAGAAGAAACGGGGAATTGGAGAGTTTTAGAAGTTTTAGAAATATATCTTGAAAGAAAAAAATCAACGCTTCCAAAAAAATCCTAGGAAAGAAAGGCAGTGATTTGAGAATGTGAACGGTGGTTAGAATCTTCCAAAAGCGAAGACAATCCGAATTATCTGCTGTAAAAAGGCATAGTACAGGCCACGCCGCCACCTTTCCGACTGCCGAACCCACCGGAATCAGCCATATTTATGAAGGGATATGCTTGGAAATTGGCATCTCAAAGCGCGCGTGAAATTCCTGCGCATTGTGAAATGCACATGTCAGTCACAAGTACAGGTCATTTTTAGCATTTTTAGGTGACGACAAATTTGATTGCGGTCTTTGCGCCTACGAGAGATAAAACACTTATACAAAAAGGTATCAGTCCAACATTCAGCTCAGTCACTTCCAGTTAGATGTTATCAATGTAAGTAGAAAAAACATTCAAATAAAGATCAAAACCAAGAAACTGCGGTCGTCGGAAGCGCGTACGTGTCGCACTCGCGCCATTGTCACGATTGTCCAAATGCCCTATAACTCAACTTCATATCACCTTCCCCTCAATCATTTGGCAGGTTTCGGCGATTTCGGTGGCTTCAGGCGGGTTCGGGTGGATACCGGCGCGTACGGTGCGGTCTGAACGATGCCACACCTGGGAGATGACTTTAAAAACAGTCTGCCTTTTTTGAAAATAGAGGCTTGGAGGAGGTTTAATGTAGTAAGTGTGAAGAACATCACCACAGGTGAACAGGAGTGTGGTGGCTTTCGAACGTCTGAAGGAACCTGCACATCGAAGGAAACTCTGTGTGTGGAATTTCGGAGAGCGCTTAAATTTGCAAAAAGTTGAAGATGTTTCAAACGAAAAACTTTGAAATAACGCTTTGCGATAAAGGCTACTTGGGAGGGAGGAAAGCCCAAAAACCACGGCTAGAGAAAAGTGTAGAGAAATATTTGAATGACGTTGTCTGGGGAAAGCTTCAGAGTAGAACAAACTTAACAGAAGATTTTTTTTTTACTCTTCAGTAGAAGAGGAAAGCGATTAAGAGGTGGGGGAGGGAGAAGTTTGGCTTAGAACTTTAGGGATGGCAGAAAAGCGGCACACATGAATATGACGGATTTTTGGTGTCTGTGGAGAGTAGGGAAAGGGTAGTATGGGACGAAGGAAAGAAGCCCTTAGAGAGCAGATGAGCTCCTACTGGAACATCTCCCAAAAAGACTTCGCGCACCAGAAAGATTGTGAACATTGATTAGGGTGGCACTGCATGAGGCTGTTGCCCGAAAAAGGTTTGAGTTCCTTTTAGGACGTTATGCTTAAAACTAATTTGATATTAATCAGAGTTTTCTACATAAAGCTATGCATGCTTGGAAGATTGATGCTATACTTTTGCCTATGAAAAGTTCTAACTTTTCGATACGTCCGACTTCATACACACAGCCAGTCCGAAGCGCCGCGAAGCGGCGCTTTGGACTGGTGAATTATAATTGGCCTATCTTGTAGTCGCAAGCCAATAGTAGATAATAAGACGGAAAGGGTTTGTAGGAAAAAATTTGCGAGAAGGAGAAGAATTAAAATTCAAAATTGTCTTCCTTCTTTCAAATTTCAAAAAAAAATTTCAAAATCTCCGAATTCCGAATTTTTTTTGCAACTTTATTTCAGTATGCCTCGAAGTCCCAAGGGCAGAATTTCTCGATTTTCTGCATACTAAACATTTGAATTTTTTCTGCAAAATTTGTCAACAGAATGCCCTACCTCTACGCCAAGAGAATTGAGCTTTGGCGATTGACTTCTTCAAAAGAAATTTATAGGTCATAACATGACCGCAACCCGTGTTAAAATGCCGATATCTCAGTCTTGAGAACTTCAAAAAATACAGCTAAGTATGCATATGGTAGACAATTTCAATTACGTATAGTAATTAAACTTTCAAAAGCGGTATTCATACGCGCTCGAATTCTGGCCATAAAACTGAATGCAACAAAATCCTAACTTGGATGCGATAATTTGAAGCTCTGTAACTTTACAACAGATGAGATTGGAAGCTCGCTTCAAAAATCATTTGATAGAGCATGGAAACACTTTCTTAATGATATGCTACATCTATTGCAAAAAAAATTAAAAAAGGCTTGGAAAATCGGCTATTATTTTGCATAATCCTACTACAATAAATTGTGTAACGATTTCATGCATGCTGATTTCAGCACACCATTTTCGAGCGCTTGTAGATCTTTTTGAGCGGCCTGATCAAATTTTTAACAAGTAGAAACGGTATACTATGCTATGGTATTATCTGGCACAAATTATGGAAAAAAAGCGTTACGGTGAAGAGCGAGTTTCTTATTTGGAGTTAGAGATTCTGATCAACTTAGTGCAATAGTTTTTAGCTTTTTTTGTTTATTTCAGAAGTAAGATATGACCCTTAATGGTTCAAAACCCTCCTCAAAGTTCCTACTTCAATCCTACACTATAGAAGAGGGATTCTTAATTCGCATTATAACGTAAATTTAAGATATAGCCAGCTCCACGTTATGGTGTCCAAAGCTTTTCGAAAGAATCAATGGCAAAGGAATTATTAACAATCAAGCGGAAAGCACATTTTTGGGTCGCCCTGTATATGCGGTTGCACAGAATGGCTAACTAGAAAATTTAGATAGAAAGATAGAAGATAGAAAATCTCTCGACCGTTCTTATGAAGACGCGAATAAAGCACTTGCTTGCAAGCAACATCCACTCTCAGCTTAGATGAGGGAATTGATCTTGTTCGAATTCCAGTTACGGTGAAACACGTTGTTACCATTCCGATTGCCCAAGTAGCATTAGGTTTGAGGCAGGGTACCGTTGATCGTCGCTTATTTTCCAACATCAATGAAGAACTTACATTTAGGTCCAAGTATGTATAACATAGCGCGACTTTGCTAGCTACTGACTTTGACAAACCCTTCCACCTATGATACGCTGAAGTTTGCCCTCAGACTTTGTAATTGCGGCTTTCTCTCTCTGGCTAGAACATCAAGGTGATGGAACTTCTCGCCCTTCGAAAAAAAAACTTGAAGTTTATGCTGCATTCAATATTTAGGTTTCTCGACTCAACTTCTGATCATTCTCTTATCACATAAATCTTGCGTGCTGATACTGACAAAGAAATCTGTCTCCCCGCAAGGTAGGCGTTGAGAAACCTAACTATTGAATGCGGCATAAACTTTTTGGCCATTCTTTTCGTAGACCTTAAAGCCCCAAATTATAAAATTTCTCGATTTTCTCGTACTAAACACTTGAATATTTTTGCAAAACTGTCAGTAATGTAGGTGATTAGGGTAGGTGGTTCCATAATTTGCGCCTGAATTATAGTCAGAAAAGTGAATGCAATGAGATCTTGATTTGAGTGCGGTTGGTTTGAAACTTCATAAAATTTCAGCGGATAATTCTAGAAGAACCCTTCAGCGATTGTTATTAAAGCATGAAGAGGGCTTCCTAACAGTATGCCATCTGTTTCAAAGAAAAAATTTTAAAGGAAAAAGCTTTTCTTGAAAACAGGCCATTAATTTTGCATCAACCTAAGAAATTGTGGAAGTCTTGAAAGAAATAACAGCGTTTGTAAAGCATATTTATTCTGAAAGTACCCGCAAGATTTACATACATAAACAAGAGTAGTAACATTGGAACAAGTTGATCGCATGAACAGACAGACGGCGATGCTCACGATGAAGAGGGAGAGAGCTCCTGAAAATGGTAGATGGGATGATCATGACACACATTAGAAAAAATATATAGGTACAAAAATGTTGCTTTGTTTCGGGAGAAAAGGTGCTACCAGCTTTAAAGTGAAAATGACATGCGTGACTTGTAGGATGGCTTGTTCTAGTCTAAAAATCAGCAAAATCAAGTTCTGCCGATATTTCAAACTCAGCTTTTTCGTGTGGAATTTTTTTTCTTGTCGATTACTATGAATAGCAAAATACAACAGCTTTACAAATAATTTTCTTGTGAAATGAAGGGAGGGGGAGTAACAGATGGCGTGATAAGAAATATACATTTAAAGAATATATCTCTACCCTGCTTTTGAGTTTTATTGCCTCTAAGCTCAACTGTGTTATGATCTGACATGCACAGTGGACAATTTAGTATTAGTATCCCAAATAATATGCTGTGTTTCATTCAACTATTTGCAAGTGCGCGCGAAGTAGAAAGAAGAACAAAACTTGAAAAGATTATTCAGTGTCAGGTTTTGATTAATCATGCAGGATTGAGGAAAATGTCGCCTTCAGTCTTTTTCTTAATCGACGCTTGCTTTACAATAGAAGAATCTTCCAAACCCAAACGATGTGTACTTACCCTTAGTCGGTCTCCATCTATTTTAAAATCTCACTTCTGCAGAAAGTCTTGTTCGCTGTGAGAAAATGGTTGCGAAACCCTATTCGGTGTTTCAAACACTGAAATAAAAGATATATTGATGATGAATAACTTTGTGAAAAAACGTTGTTTTCACTAATTCAATTAAAAAAACGAATGGGGCTTGCTTACTGATACTCGAAACTCTTTAAAGCTTTAATCTCCACGAAACTGGATTTCAATACCTGTCTACAAAGAAAGTTCGTGGGAATTTGTAGTAAGGTTACATCTTATCTTATCTTATCTTTTATTCATTCTCAACGGTTTACATTGTTCATGCAAAAGACCGTGATGATATTATGTAAGGCTTCATTATGTCAGTAGTGGGACCGCATATATAATACCTAGTGTTCTCCATACAGCACATTCCAATCTTAGCTCCTGCCAATTACAATTAGGCTTATGAATCTTGCAATGCTTACGGATGTCGTCTTCCCATCGCGTTCTAGGTTTTCCATCACCGAAACGTCTGCCAGTAGGTGGAATCCAACGTGTAAGCATGTCTGTCCGTCTTTCATCGCCTTCTTTACCAAGTATTCTTCCAGCAAATCGCCATTTTCTTCGCGAGCTATCGCGACTACATCTTTCAGTCTCGTGATAGAACGTATCCATTTTGAGGATTTTTGGTCTTTTAAGCGGAATCCTAGCATTGATCGTTCCATCGCTCTTTGGCATGTTTCAGCAGCGAGCTCTTAGTCACCGCCCATGTTTCACAACCGTATAAAAGCGTTGGAAGTATCACGGTATTAAAGTAACGGCGTTTGAAATGAACAGCAACATTTCGACTGCTGAGAAATTGTCGTAGTTTTTCAAATGCATTCCATGCCGCACTTATGCGTCTGGAAATTTCTTTATCATGACTGCGTGGGCATTGAATTAGCTGTCCAAGATATACGAAGCAATCTACACGTTCAATGACATTGAAGTTTAGTGTGATTATCGAGCTCGTCCAAGTGTTGTCTCTGTCTTCGCCCATCCACTTGGTTTTGTGGCCATTGATTTGAAGTCCTATTCGAGAACATGCATGAAGAAGCTTTACAGCCATTGATTCCAAATGACTTGAACAGAGACTTATGAGTACAATGTCATCCACAAAAGCAAGGTAACGTAAACGTCTTCCACCAGAGTCATATCCTTCTCTTTCTTCCCACTGTATAGATTCGATCGCGTACTGCAGACATGTGATGAAAATGAGCGGAGACAATGCATCGCCTTGACGGACTCCTCTATGTATTTTGAAAGACGAATTGATCTTATTAAGTTGAAGTGAGGCTGTTGCGGTTTGATATAATAGTTGTATCATCAAAATCGTGTCATTATCTACTCCAAAGTAGGCAAGAGCTTCCCAGATTGCGTTGAAGTTGATAGTATCGAAAGCTTTTTCAAATTCGAGGAAAAGAAGTGCTATTGGTAGATGGTATTCATGGGTTTTTTCAATAAGTTGGTTGATTGTTTGCAAGTGGTCGGTAGTTGAAAACGTTCGTCGAAAACCGGCTTGCTCAATGGAAAGACGTTTATCTACCTTTTCCTCTATTCGGTGGGCCAAAGCTCTTGTCAAAACCTTATACAATGAAGGTAAGAGGGAGATCGGGCGGTAGTTTTTGATGTCATACCGATCGCCCTTCTTATGAAGTAGAACCATGGAAGCATGTGCAAATTCATTGGGTATGCTACCTTTCTCGAACATTCGGTTGATGATACCTGCTAATTGTGGTGCAACAATCTCTACTCCGTACTTTGCAGCTATAGATCGGATTCCATCGATGCCTGGGGCAGTGTTTCCGCGAATTTTTGAGGCAGCTATCCTTAACTCGTCTGCAGTTATTGGGTAATTCACGATTCGATGGGTGTGAGGCTGAATGGGATTCTCGCGTATTCCGTGAAGCTCAGCAAAGTAAGTAGTAGCGAGTAAAAAAGCTTCGGTGGAGTTGGTTGTTAGTGTCCCATCTGGTCGGCGTAGCTGGCAGTTAGTTTCTCGTTGATGAACAAGCTCAAGACGGCCACGCTTTATACGGTTGACTCGAATGGCACGCTTCAGAACAGAAAGATGATGTTGATGAAGATCGTCTTTTATTGACCATCTGGCAACCTTGCAAACAGCGGAGTATTCAACGGAGTCGAAAGAACTCTTCTGTCTTATCCCGTACTTCATTTCACGTCTCAAACGAAGAATGGATTGGGTTCTATCGGATATCCGTTTAGCGGTTCCCAATGGACTTCTGCATGAGCAGCAGCCTCCTGTATTGATGTACGAAGTTGTAACCAAGAGCTCACTGGATCATTCGATATCAGAGTTGATGATGAAATTTCATTTACTCGGGGATCATTAAGTAAAGCTGTCTTCATTTCGAGCTCGCAATAATCGGGAGGCAGTCGAGCAAAACTACTTCACTGTGCATGATCCGGATGTCAACATCAGCCCGAATAAGTCTGTGGTCACTTCCAGCATCAAATTTGTTGAGAACAGCAGTATTAGTTACTATCCTTGGTTGTCGTGTCAATACGTAATCTATCTCTTCCAGTACTTGCCCATTTGGAGATCGCCAAGTCCATCTTCGTCTGTGAGGCTTTTCGAAAAAGGAATTCATCACATAGAATTTTTCAGACTCAGCGAACCCAAGCATGGCCTGCCCTTTACTATTCCGTATTCCAAGGCATTTGTCGCCGACGTATTCGCTTCGTGGCCCATCTCTTCCTATACGCGCGTTAAAGTCGCCAACTAAGATGTCATAGGTAAATCGTTTTTGTGAAAGTGCGCATCGTAATTCTTCTACAAATTCTTCATAATCATTCTCCTGCCATGGTGCGTAGGCTATAGAAACCCGCATAGACCTTCCCCGCATCCGAAAGTGGATCTGGATAAGGCGTTCCGAGACGAATGTTACGCTTACGCAATAACGATGAATGCGATCATTCACTAGTATGCCGACTCCTCTTCTAGTGGCTTCTCCATTTGTTCGTCCGCTATTATAGAAGTGTAAATTCGAGAAGCTTCGTTTCGTATAAGAAGCGCCGCTGCGACGAGTTTCGCATAGTCCGACAATGTCAAATTTTATCAAACTTAGTTCCTCCTCTAGCGCAACTAATCTTTCCTCACTATACAGAGAACGAGCATTGTAAAAACATACGCGCAACTGTTCTTGTCGTCGCTGGGTCCTGCGTTCCTTGGTATCTCGTCTTGGCATCCTTCGGTGGACCAGCCACGGTTTCTTCCACCGAACTTCTTCTTAACTATCCTCGATCGTTGGTTAGATCAAAGCAGCAAAATAAGCCGACCGTTCGGGGGGACGTTAGTGACAGAAGTGAGTAAGGTTACATAATAGCGCTTTTTCCACTACAAATTTATAACGTTCTGGGAGCTTCTTCTACAAAAGACCTTAATCCAATTGGGAAAATACGCAATGGAATCAGCTTTGATGTTAAAGAGTATATGAGCAAGTCTAGATGAGTTCCGTGTTTTTGTCAAAAGCGAACAGGAGGCATTAGCTAGCCATTGCTCAAAAATAGTGTTTCGGCAAGAACCTCTGTCAGATTTGTTTCGAGTAGTGGACCCCTCCAACCCCCCTCTCCCCCCCCTCCCACTGCCCGCAGCTCAAATCTTCCTAAAGGTATCGGCTAGCGTCCTCGGTACGGTGGAATTCGGCTGAACTTAGGATTTGAACTTGAAGTTCTTAACCAGGAAGGTATGTTTAAGCTGAAGCTTGGGCAAAGGGAGGAATGCCTCATGAACTTTGAAATAACGAGCCCACCCATCAGGATTCTATACATTGCTTACAGTGGATGTCCTTTACTCTATAAAACCATGTGTTTCTCGTCTAAGATCACATACTATACCAGGAAGTAGCCAAATTTCTGCGGATGTTTCATGAATATGGTTTTGGATTGTTAAATTTGAGATAAGCTGCCTTCTTACCCTTTCCTAAGTTTTCAATCTTTCTTTGTGAAAGATGTGTATTTATGATCATTTTTTATAATTGTGTAAGCATCATCATGTGAAATCGATTGCTTAAATTTGAAAAAAACACAAGCACCTCACGCATAATCGCCTAACTGACCATTTGGAACCGGCGTGATGACTCGTTTCCCGCTCATTGGAGGTCCAATTTGTCTTGCGAATGGATGCGGACTTGTCACTTTCACTCGATATGGACGAGATGCTTGAGCTGATGCTTCACTCATTTCTGAAAATAGATAGGTACCAAACAGCTTAGAAGCTTGCGATCAAGAACTCGATAGCCAAAGCAAGTTTTGAGATTAGGTTTTTTGCGTTAATTGTGCTATATTACCGTAAACTAACCGGATGGCAGAGTTGCCCCCTCTTGGCTGTGTGCCACGACCGACGACAGCAGAGTTATAATCCAGATCAACAGCGAGCGCATCTGAAAACTCCGAATAGACTTTACATTGGATTCTCTATAGAGTATTCACATATAGCGAGCGCACGAAGTAGGAAGTTGCAAAGTCAAGAGAGTTGAAGGGTTGAGTCTGCCTTTGCATGGAAGTGAACAAAGTGCAGTCGTTGTCAAAGCCAAAGTGGCGCTTCGATAATGCCTTGATGAACTCATCGACACAAAAAAATGCAATGCAAAGTGCTAAACGACGGTAAGAAAAATTTGTACTCGAGTAAAAGACAATAATGCACAGCGTTGCTGAGAGGGCAAGTGCAAAATTACAGATTTGTAGCGAAAAAGACTGTGGGATGGATTTGAGACGAGAGGAGAGACGACAAGATTTCTTAAGATTTGGAGTATTGGGAAAAAGTTTTTTTGATGCTTCAAAGGTGCCTGTCGACATTCTCCTACAGCAGTCTTTCCTAAAATTTCTATAGTGTAGGCCATGCTTCGGTTATCTTTAAGAATATACGAGGTTTGCTCTTCACAATGACCACTGGCTCATCGCCTCCATTTTCTTCGCATTACCGACGATTAAGTTTACTCAAAATAAAACAGCCCAAAAAACATTTCTAAGTTTAGCTGCGGAACCGGAAACCCTTACAAAAGAAAACTGTTCCAAGTAAGAACTTCTCACTGTTTCTATGCGAGGTTATGCTCTCAATCGAGGATAGAAGAACCAAAGACGCCATAAATTGCCTTTTGAACCTTTTTTCAAGAAAAAAAACACTTAGTATTCTGACATGGAGTGGGGACTAGTGGAGAAATGCTTCAAAGTTTTGCACTGTTTGTGTTCGTTTCTCATCCAAGGTCGCGCGATAATTTCATTGTTGAGTTTTTGTGTCTTTGCGTAATCTCACAACATGCCATCATTCAATGAGATTGTTCCCGGCATTTGTATGTATCATTGCGGTGATTGAGTGAAAAATTTGGAATAAGTGACTAATTAAACTTGGAAATAAATAAGATAATTCACTCTCTTTCCTAGCATTCACGCATAGCCTTCAAATCTCAATACTCCCAGCAATTTTTGAAAGAAATTTCCAAATGATTCTATTTTCGTTGATCGCTTTGGTTAAGATTCTTTCTAAAAATACGATACAATATTCCTGTTCAATTAGCCAGATCACATGAAAACACATCTCAATCATCAATAAAGTCGGAAGGACAAGAGAAAATTCTTCTGCATTACGTGAAATGTGTGGTTTTTGTTGGGACTGCGAGTTTTCTTCGAAGAATCACTTCAAATCACTTTCGTGTTACATGCTATAGCGGCAGGGAGACTCAAAAAAGTGAGTTAGGTACTTTAAAATAGAACAAAACGAACTTTACAAGGTGAGTGCTAGATATCTGCACGTCAAAACTTGTCCCGAAAGTTGATTTTTCATCCAATAAAAATTCTACGAGCCCCATTTTTGTTCATTATAGGGTAGACACAGTAACAATAAACTCTCTTGCCGAATTTCTGTTGGCAAGATTGAAAACAGAAGTAGACCAATATACGAAAATGTAGTCTTTTTCGTTTTTCATGTTGAATTTGATATTTTCAGAAAATCAGCGTTTATAATTGATTAAAATCGTGCGATTGAAAAGTAAAGGGCTAATATAGGAGAAGACAAGAACGCTTTGGCAGAAGAATAAATATTTGTATTCGATTTCTAGAAGTGAAGAAGTACAGCAGACTTGTGCATAATGTTACTATATAACGACGTAAGAAAATTTCAGGAGTGTTTTACTCAAGAGCTCTCAGTACCTGCCTTAACGTTACATAGGTGGATCGCGAGTCTAAACTTCCATAAAACAGTCTAAACCTTCATTTCAACATGTCTGATGCGAAAAGAAAACGATATCAAAACTAGGTTGATAACTGATATCGACTCAAGGATTACTGGCAAGCACGAATGATCTGCTCCCAATTTGATTTGCAAGACAGGAAGTGGTCCGAAAGTGTGGGCGAGCGCAAATCGCTGTATAATGTTAGCGACAAAGAGCATCGAAATGTGCTGACTTCACTCTTTGCGACCTATAAATCAGCGCGAAATGGTTTATTTCATCAAAAGAAAAACGAATGCATTTGTGACCGTTGGGGTCAAGATGATTTTCGACCTAGCAAAGACTTATACAGGAGACTCGGAAACAAAATTGGTCAAGCGGTATGTGCCGCGCAAATCGGAAATTGTCACCATAAGTAGGAGACCGGTTCAATATGAGTATAGACCAGAGGCGCCTTTCTAATGTGAAAACTCCTTTGCCGAGGTACAAGGTTATCCAAAAACTAGTTTTGTCACAGTATTCGGGATTCAAGAGATGAAGGGTCCTTTTATGGTCAGGAGCCAAGGATGTGTTTCATTTGGTGAAAGGAATAGCCGCCGATTGTTGATTTAGACTGCTTCGCCGTTGCGATATCGTTTAATTGGTTCGCTCCTCATTTTGACAGTTGAACGCTCAACACAATGGCAGTCAGCCCGAATGTGAAGACAAACTGGGCAGCAGGGTCAAGGCACCTTGATTTTCTACATATTAAACAAAAAACGCTCGGAATTTGTCGAAGCGAAATGTATACCGCAAATATTCATTCTAGCTGCTGAATATTTGTCATTTGATTTAAGCTTCTCTTGTCCCTCTCACTGCTTCGGCTAAAGACGTCGCAGGACGTTTGTGGCGATTAGGTCCAGCCTGGAAATGCCCCGACAGCGTTACGGTCGAATAAGCCTAGGCCTTTCCTTTCATGTTTTTTTGCAAACATAGCCACTCGCATTACATCGATTTTGAGTCGCTAAAAACAAAGCACGCGAAAAGAAACAGAATGAAAATTTAGAGCTTGCATAGAAGAATTTGCGCAAATGGACTAGACACACTGCACATTTTTTGCGTTTCTAGCTAATTATTATTCTCATAGACAATTTACAATCATAACTATTCATTGCTATTTTTGCGACAGAATGTAGCCGAACTAACACTTATCCTGCACTTAGAATACATGATAGGCGGAATTCAGAAGCAGAAAATGTCTAATTTGTTTACACCGGGGTTCAATATTTTTCTAGCTTGCAGTACAAAGTCAGTGGATGATAGAAATGTAAAAATTTCTAAACAATCCAATGCATAGATTTTGCTGCAGCTGATGGCAGTGTTTTCGTTTGAGAAAGCATTGAAACATGATATCGTGAGCGGCTAGAAATATAGCCTTTCTAGAAGACATCGCATTCTTGGCAAGCATCTAAAAATTGCAAAGACACTAATACTATCTAAAAATGCTAGATCAATGATTAGATTTTGCATTTTACCGGAAAGTTAAACCGAAACTACTAGTTTTAAAGGACACGTGACAACTGTTCTAGCAGTGACATGTAAATATTTCAAATATAGTAGTTATCTAAAAAACTGTAAACGTTCGAGCAATTATTTGCAAAATGCTGCAGAAACAGGAACAATTTACCGAGGTTTTGTAACTCAGTTTGTTCCAGGCATTGTGTAATGGTTTTATAGGTGTCACATTTTGACGAGCCGTTTATCTGCTATTCTGAAGAAAAAAGGTATTATGATAATGACGTGGGATTGCAGATGAAAACAGCTCAGCAATGATTATGAACAAAATATTACGAAAAAATACTCTCTGTTCTTTGTCAGCGTATCATATTTAAATTGTCCCGAAAGTTGTGTCCGTTTTTTTCAAATTACTATAAAACCACGCACAATAAAGAACTGAAAGAGTTTTAACATGCATTTTATGCCGCTTTTCCTTCTTTTTTTTTTGAAGGCACATTTTAGAAACGAAATCTTGTACGCTTTTTTTGATAATTGCCAAAATTCTCCACCCGTCAATTACATCTGCTCAAAGTTAGGCTAATTTTTAAAAATTTCATTCCAAAGTTTCGGAAAGGGTCAAGTATGCATTGAATAGAGCAATTTTCGGGCTACAAGGCTGTATTTTCAGATTCTCCCAATCTGCTGTTTTTAGCTTCAAACAATTACTTCTTCGGGTTTTCGATTTTTGGCAAAGTCAAGAAACACGCAACTGTAGCAAATACAGGAAAGCTTTTGAAGTTTCTACGAGTTTAAGCATGATTATTATTAAACATTATTTATGCAACATAACCAAGTCTAATTTGCTTTGAAAAAGCAGCTTTTTAGAATTTTCGGCACTTTTACGTGGTAAACGTAATCGAAAAGCAGCGGATTTTATCAAATAAATAATTATGACGGACTTGGTAAATTTGGCCCATGTAATCTGAAATGAATACAATGTAGCCAAAGGTTTGCTCCACGTAATAGTTACCAGCGCTCTTTGAAAACGTCAGGATAAAAAAATTTTGAATTCAGGAAATATTTGGCGTTACTGCTGGGCTGCTCAAAAGCCATGGCGATAACATTGCCAACGTAGGGTAGATCAGAAAGCAAATATAGCTGTAAGAAAGAGGACAAAAATTTGAATTAAATGGTACCTAAGTTCTCCATGAATTGTTAATTTGTGAGTTTTTGTGAGTGATGAAAAATCGGACAAAACTTTCGGGACAACTTAATATCACATCCTTTTTTGGATAAGACTGTGTATCACTTGATTACAGGCTTATGGTAGTAATCTCATTAAAAACTCTTGCAAAAGTGCAATAAACGTGAGTTTTGTGGAAGAGGGATCACGTCTCATAATGTGAGAAGTATCGAATTGGGAAAAAAAGTTCTTGAACAAAATTAAAAGTGTCACTTATCATCTCATGCATGTAACAAAAATGTACACTCTCGCCTGCAAAGTCATGTGAGGGGAGGAATCTTGGACGGAGTTTGCCACTTTTCAACATCTCGTTTTTCTTATTCTTTGGGCTGTAGTTACCAGCGGCGGTCAGAGGAAAATCTTGGGACAGAATGCCTCCCAAAATAATTTGGGGTCTATTAATCCGGATGCAATTTTTTTTGCAAAGATTTGAATTTTGAAATCTCAGACTTGAAATTCTTGAGAACTAAAAGCAAGTCACACCAATTTTGTAACT